TGGAGCTAAGAGGAAAGATGTTTCCCTTTGAGCACGCTGAGGTTTCCAGGGACCGACTGCAGGTTGGGGATTCCTGGGAACACCTGCCCCGGGTCCGACCTCCGGGCCGAACCAGGGCCCAACCCTCCCCAGCCGCACATTCCTGCGCCACGTGAGTCCTCCCCTCCCGCCTCTGCGCTTTGCGCAGGCGCCTTCACGCGCGAGGGGGCGGGGCCGGGGGAACGTGAGGGCTCCGGTGGCAGGGGGGGCCTTGGAGGAAGGGAAGAGGAGGGAAGCAGGCGTCAGCACGTGACTCGGCCCTGAACCTGTGTCCTCAGCTGGCCCCGGCTGGCTGGCGCTTAAAGGTACAGGCGCCTTCTTTCGAACCAACCTTCTGGAACCTTAGAGCAGCTTCTCCTCCTCTTCCCTAACTCTTCTCAACGAGTAGCTCTTAGACTCTTAACTTGAGAACTTTAAAGTGCAGTAGATTCTTTTTCTCAGGACAGCCTGGGGTCTAAGCTTAGGTCGTGGATTTGGTAAGTAGGATTCATGGTAGACTGAACTAACAAACACACACAGTGCATCTTAAGTCCTGAGGTTTTAGAAGCCATAGCCGTGATTAATGGGTTACCTAGGGCGTCATTTATGACTGGGACTCAGTTTCCTTGTTAGTAAAGGTAAATATGGCTGCATGATGTCTAAGCATTTTTATGGCTTAGAGAAACCTTCATTTTTCTTTTTTTTTGGAGACAGTCTCGCTCTGTTGCCCAGGCTGGAGCACAGTGGTGCGATCTCAGCTCACTGCAAACTCCACCTCCCACGCTCAAGCAATTCTCCTGCCTCAGCCTCCCTAGTAGCTGGGATTACAGGCGCCTGCCACTATACTCGGCTAATATTTGTATTTTTAGTAGAGATGAGGATTTCCCCATGTGGATGCTGGTCTCAAACTCCTGACCTCAGGTGGTCTGCCTGCCTCAGCCTCCCAGAGTGCTGGGATTACAGGCATGGGCCACCACACTCGACCAAGGGAACCTTCATATTTTATATTAGGGAGTTTAATCCCTGGCCGAATTTATGCTAGATCCCAGAAAGGCTTTGCATGTGGCTATAATACCTGAGCAAGAGGAAGCTTCTGGAAACCCTCTCCCTAAAATAAATACACACTCAGCTGACACGTACTGTTTCCCCAAGGCCTGACCTCTCGGGACACACCCAGCCCTGTGGACCCAGACACCGTGGAGGTGCTGATGACCTTTGAACCCGACCCAGCTGATCTTGCCCTATCAAGCATTCCTGGCCATGAGACCTTTGACCCTCGGAGACATCGCTTCTCAGAGGAGGAACTTAAGCCCCAGCCAATCATGAAGAAGGCAAGGAAAATCCAGGTGCCAGAAGAGCAGAAGGTGAGCAGTGCTGGATGTGGGACAGGCTTGGCTAGAGACATGCTCCACAGCCAGGGAGGCGCCCTTTCTCACAGTCAGGCCTGGGCTTCTCCCTGGGATTAGTGCTCAGCCTCTCCTGGCCTGCACCCACGGATTAGACCTCCTTGGCCACGGAGCACAGGGGCAGGGGCCTAAGATTTATGAAGACTGTGTCAGCTGGGTGAGGGGCCTCACTCATATAATCGCAGCACTTTTCGGGGCTGAGGCAGGAGGATCGCTTGAGCTCAGGAGTTCAAGACCAGCCTGGGCAACATGGCAAAACCCCGTTTCTTTTTTGTTTGTTTGTTTTTGTTTTGTTTTTTTGAGACGGAGTCTCGCTCTTGTTACCCAGCCTGGAGTGCAACGGCGCGATCTCGGCTCACCGCAACCTCCACCTCCTGGGTTCAGGCAATTCTCCTGCCTCAGCCTCCTGAGTAGCTGGGATTACAGGCACGCACCACCATGCCCAGCTAATTTTTTGTATTTTTAGTAGAGACGGGGTTTCACCATGTTGACCAGGATGGTCTCGATCTCTTGACCTCGTGATCTACCCGCCTCGGCCTCCCAAAGTGCTGGGATTACAGGCTTGAGCCATTGTGCCCGGCCCGGCAAAACCCCATTTCTATAAGCTACTCCAGAGGCTGAGGTGGGAGGATTGCTTGTGCCTGGGAGGTTGAGGCTGCAGTGAGCCAAGATCGCACCACTGCACTCCAGCCTGGGCGACAGAGTAAGACCCTGTCTTAAAACAAAAGACAGTGTCACTGTGGGGTGCTGACTCAGCCAGCTCTGCTAGGTCTCCTTATAGAGACTTGAAGCATCTCCTATTACTTGGGTCCAGCACCCTCAGTGGGACAGGTCTCAGGCTCCACCAGGCACAACTGTGAAGGACAGTCTTCCTTGGCAATGGGATATCAGCCTGTGGCCTGTCTCTCCTTACTCAGCAAGCCTTTGATCTCTGGTGTGGGGCTTCCTTTAGTGTGATGGCGTTTGGCTAGGAGGCAGACTCTGCCAGCCCCTTTAAGTCTTGTTTCCTGGGCCTGGACTTCTCACTGGTGGGAGACTTAGGGCTTCTGTTAGCGGTCAGGGCCACTTTCTGACATGGTGTGATTTGAGCAGTGATAGCATCTTTACATTATTTTGTTTTTTGCCATTATGGGAGTCTTCCCTGGGAAGAGTTGCTTGGGCTTCTGTTATAAGACTGTCATTCCTGGCCAGGCGTGATGGCTTATGCCTGTAATCCAGCACTTTGGGAGGCTGAGGTGGGCGGATCATGAGGTCAGGAGATCAAGACCATCCTGGCCAACATGGTGAAACTCCATCTCTACCAAAAATACAAAAATTATAATTGGGCATGATGATGCGTGCCTGTAGTCCCAGCTACTCGGGAGGACGAGGCAGGAGAATCGCTTGAACCCAAGAGGTGGAGGGTGCAGTGAGCCAAGATTGCGCCACTGCACAATCTCCAGCCTGGCAACAGAGTGAGGCTTTGTCTCAAAAAAAAAAAAAAAAAAACAGTCCAGGTGGGGTGGCTTATGCCTGAAATCCCAGCACTTTGGGAGGCTGAGGTGGGTGGATCATGAGGTCAGATCAAGGCCATCCTGGCTAACACAGNCCAGGTGGGGTGGCTTATGCCTGAAATCCCAGCACTTTGGGAGGCTGAGGTGGGTGGATCATGAGGTCAGATCAAGGCCATCCTGGCTAACACAGTGAAACCCTGTCTCTACTAAAATTACAAAAAATTAGCCGGGCGTGGTAGTGGGCACCTGTCATTCCAGCTACTCAGAAGGCTGAGGCAGGAGAATTGCTTGAACCTGGGAGGCAGAGGTTGCATTGCGCTGAGCTCACAACACTGCACTGTAGCCTGGGTGACAGAGCAAGACTCTATCTCAAAAAAAAAAAATTCGCAGGGCATGGTAGCAGGCACCTGTATTCCCAGCTACTCAGGAGGCTGAGGCAGGAGAATCACTTGAACCCAGGAGGTGGAGGTTGCAGTGAGCTGAGATCACACCACTGCCCTCCAGCCTGGGTGACAGAGCCTGACTCCATCTCAAAAACAAGACTTTGCCATGCCCTTGTGTAAGACATAGCTCCTGAAGCAGCTAAGACAAGCCTATAAGTCAAATCTACACCAATGGTTTCTCCTGCTAGAGGGTTCTGTTGCTAGGGACTGGATTTAACCTCATAAACAGGAACTCGGCTTTCATTAAATGGTGGAGGGGGAAGCATCTTTCTGAGCCAAGAGGTCCTTGGTTACTAAGGAGTAGTCCTCCTTAGGAAGCAACTTCCAGGATGGGAGGACTTCAGGTATAATCCTCTGGGGAGGTCCCAGGGTAGTCTCCATTCCTGAGGGACACCTCTTCTCTCAGTCAGGTCCTGTTGGGGAGGAGGCTGTTTTCTGGTCTCAGTTCAAGGTCAGAGACGGGCCAGTCATTGAAACCACTTAGACCTCACTTTTGTTTGCTGAGGATGGATGAGGTTGCCTTGGCAACCAGGTCAGAAGGGGCCCAGCTCTGGGAGGATTATTATGGGACACCAAACCCTATCACCAGGGCACCACGCTTTCCTTAGCAACCAGGATCTGGAAAGGTGATGTGCAGGGCAGTGCTTTTCACTGGGAGAAGCCCTCAGACCATGAAGGCCTTGTTGCTAGGGAACAAGCATCCTTAGCAACCAGGAGCTAACTGCAGACCCTTTATCATGTGGGGAAGGCTGGGGTCTGCTTTTCACAGTGGAGACTTGAAGCCCAGTTGCTTGAGGGTGCGGGTCTATCTCATGCCTTTACTGTTGCTAGGGGCCCAATCTGTTTAGCAACCAGGGCCCTAGAAAGGCAGACCCTTGGATTCCTATCCCAGAGGAGATGCTGCATGGTTTAGGCCCCACTGCTGGGGCTCCCTTCCCCTCTTGCTGGGACCTGGGTCCCTCTGGACCTCAGTGCCCTCCCCGCTTCTCCCCCAGGACGAGAAATACTGGAGCCGGCGATACAAGAACAATGAGGCAGCCAAGCGGTCCCGGGATGCCCGACGGCTCAAGGAGAACCAGATTTCGGTGCGGGCGGCCTTCCTGGAGAAGGAGAACGCCCTGCTGCGGCAGGAAGTGGTGGCAGTGCGCCAGGAGCTGTCCCATTACCGCGCTGTGCTGTCCCGATACCAGGCCCAGCACGGGGCCCTGTGAGGCTGCCCCACACCCCCACCTGGCGGAGCTGTCATCCGCCTGGCTGAGACTTACGCCTAGTTCCCTCCCTGCCCTGTGGCCCACGGGCGGGCCAGCTGGGTGCCCCAGGGACATGATGATGCAGATAAATACATTTATATTTTTAAGAAAAAGCAAGCCTTCCCCCTCCCTCGTGGGGGTGGGGAAGGTCCTCTGTGTGTGTCCCCGGCACGTCAGGGACCCCATCCTCCCACCGCCTCCGTTAACACGATCCTGAATAAATCTTGAGAACCCCAGAGCCAGCTGTTGTGGAAGAGGAGGGCAGCTCCCTGGCATACTGGCTACAGCCCGTGGGCAGCTCCGGGCTGCCGTCCATAGAGGGCAGGCGCTGCAGGAAGTGCTGGAGTCTGAACCCCCCCCGCGGGCTGTCGGATGGAGGAAAGGCAGGTATGAGAGGGATGAAGCGACTGCCTTTATTGCATAGACCTTTTCAATTGCTTTTTAGACTGGGGACGGGGGTACGCACTTGAGACGAACAGGGGATATGAATTTCCCCGCCCCCACCCGCGGGGGGAGGAACTTTAGTGCAAATCCTAGCGCCGGCCCGAGGGAACCTGCCCCTCCTGGGCTGATTGGCCAGCTAAATGGAGGCACCGGAGTGGATGGGGCGAGACTGCGGGCCCTGACCGGCCGACTCAGTAAGGCCTACCCCAACCCGTACATTCCAGGTCCTGTCACTGGGCGACGAGTAAAACAGGCTCCGCCCTCAGCCATCCTGGCTGGGGGGGAGCAGGTGGCAAGCGTCTAGACTGGGCCCCGCCCTGTAAGGGCGGCCCGAGCTCAGACGCCAGGCCCCGCCCTCATTGGTCAGGCACTACCCTCGGGACGAGCCTATTTCTCTCTCACCGTGACGACGCCCACCCTCCTGCATCACGTCTGGTCCCAAGAAAGCGGGCGCAATTCTGAGACCGGGCCAGGGCCCTTGCACTTGGGGTTGTCACCACCACTCTAGCAGCTAGGCAACACCCCCTAGCTCAGGCTGCGCCCCCTTGGAATGTAAGCCCCGCCCCCGGCGGGTGACAAGCTTCGTTAGTTTCAGGGCTCCCGCCCCAGGCAGCCAGGAGGCCCAGTGAGTAGTGTACCGAGGCCAGGGTGCATCTGCGCCTGTAGCGGGCCATACTCCACCTGCTCCCCGTCCACCGTGAGCACGCCGCGTGGCGTAAGCGGCTCTAGGCGGAAGGCACGGGCCGCGGCGTAGCCCAGCTGCGGACAGCCCAGGCTGAAGTGGCTACCACGCTCCATGGCCAGGAAAAGGCGCAGCAGCGCAGTCCGCGAGATGCCGCTACGCACCCAGCATAGGTGCACCAGGCCGTCATTGAAGCGCGCGTGCGGAGCTGCCACCATGTCAGCGCCCAGGTGGCTGGGCGAGATGGCCAACATAAGCACAAAGTCTTCCTCCAGCGTCACCCAGTCTGGAGGCAGTGGGGAGCCCAGTGGAGGCAGCAGGTGGTCGGGCGGGCCGCAGGTGGAGGCCGATACCCGGGCATCAGGGGTGGGAGGTGGGAGCCCAGAGGATGGGGGAATAACAGGGGGTCCCTTGGCGACGGGCGAGAGTAGAGCTGCCTTGGGAGAGCCAGGAGGTGAAGACAGCAGTGGGTCCGGGGAGAGTGGAGCATCCCCAGCCCCACCCCAGTCCCCAGCCAGCTCTGGACCCCCACCATTGAGGGACAGGATGGGCAGGGGTTCTGGAGAGCCAGGGGAGGCCAGGGCAGGCTGGGGCAGGGGAAGGGGCAGGTCAGACACAGAGCGATGCAGGGGTGAGTGGGCCATGGGCGGGGCTGGGTCTGGGGTCAGGGTCAGCTCCGACTTGGCACGGGGCAGGCCATGGGCAGGGGCGGGCGAAGAGGGTTCCACAGTGGCAGGGAGGTAGGAAAGGCGTCCGCGGTAGGTATGCAGCGTGGCAAGGCCCAGCATTGTGCCCAGTGTGAAGCGGACACTGCCCAGAGCCCTGAAGCGCTCGCTCTGAATATCCACATCGGACACGAAGCCCCAGGCCACAGACAGGAAGGAGAAACAGCGGGAACCTGAGGCCAGCGTCACGGAGAGCAGGTCCAGAGGATGGCCACCGCCCCGGCAGAGCAACAGTGAGCAGTTGAGCAGCAGGTCAAGGCCCAGGGCCGGCTCAAACCTTCACAGCCCGAGATAGACGGACACACAGAGGGAAGGAGCAAACAGGGGTCGGGGAGAGACAGGCAGGGAAGCAGGTGGCAGTGAGACCAGAGGCCATGGCCTGGGCCCACCACAGCCACAGGGCCACCTCCAGGCAACTGCTTATGGGACCAGGTTCCCGGTCATCTCTTTCATTTGCTCCCTACACATTCACTGAGTGCCTCCCATGCCAGGCAGCGTTCTAGACACTTAGGGATACAGCTGGGAACCAGATAGGCAAAAATGTCCAGGAGGTGGGGTGAGGCATCCCACAGGCAGGCTGATTTACTTCGACTGACTGTGGGTTTGGCTGAGTAGGAGATGTAGGGGCCCCAATCACCCCAGGAGGAGCTCATCCCTCCCTTCGTGGTACCCTCAACCTACCCCCCATGCTGGTTCACTGCTCCAGCCAACGCATTGCCCGAGCCGCAGGGGAGGATGCCCACAGGCATCTTCACAGCTTCCTCCCAGTCAGAGCGATCTAGGAGCCCGTTCAGCACCTGGAGGGTGGGAGACCAGAAGCCTGGGTTCTGGTGGCAGCTTCTGCAGTCCCCCAGGGCCCAGGGCTAGGGGCAGGGTGCTCCTGCTCTACCTCAAAGAGCAGCCCGTCTCCCGAGACTGTGACGATGCCATCCCACTCACTCAGGCGCAGCCCCTGCACCAGCTCCCGGGCGTGGTTCTGTCGTTCTGAAGTGGGATACCAAGCCGTTAGGCAGGCTGTCCCACCCCAGCCCCACAGACCTAGGAGTCCCACTCATCACTTCACTCCCATAGGACTCAGTTGTCCCAGCCCCCAACTCCCATTCTCACTGGACCTTACCTGTCTGGATGAGGTTGAAGGACAGCCCAGCTTCAGAGATCATGGGCAGCACGTAGTTCTTACACCACTGCCAGGCCAGGCCCCGCCCCCCAAAGGGATTGACCAATAGGAGCAACCGAGGCGGCCGAGGTAGCAGGTCAGGGGTGATCTCTGTGGAGAGAGCTTAGAGTCTGCAAAGGCCAGCGACCCACACCCCCCCACCATGTAAACAGTCCCTTCAAACAGCTCCCAACAAAATTGGAGTGCTGGCACCTGGAACCTGCCAGGACTTTTCTCCCAGCCCTCATGTGGCCAGGTCTAGGTGTACAGCCCTGCCCCACAGCCCAGGTGCTGAGACAAAGGCAGAGCTTGGATGTGAAACCAAATGCCCTTTGTCCCCATGTGTGGGAGGTGGTCATGGAAGCTGTGGTTCCTACTTTCCTCACCCCGAACACCTGTTACCCAGGATAGGATCAGGTTACTTCCAGCCCTTAGGGGCCCTAGGCCGGATTAGATGCCACCTCTGAATTCCAGAGATGCACTAGGAGATCTCTGTTGGCACTCATCACTCTGAGTGGTGCCTGGTCCTGTCTCAGGCTGCTGCTCTCACCAGCCTGGAAGCCCTGACTCACCTGTGGTCAAGACCCACCAAGGGGGAAGAGGGTAGGAACAGAAACATAAATCTAGCAAGAGAGCAGCAGGTGCAAATCATTTTTCTCTGCCTGTGTTTTGTTTTTTGTGGCAGAGTTTCGCTCTTGTTGCCTAGGCTGGAGGGCAATGGTGCAATCTTGGCTTACTGCAAACTCCATCTCCCGATTCTCCTGCCTCAGCCTCCTGAGTAGCTGGGATTACAGGCATCTGTCACAACACCCAGCTAATTTTTGTATTTTTAGTAGAGACGGGGTTTCACGATGTTGGCCAGGCTGATCTTGAACTCTCGACCTCAGGTGATCTACCCGGCTCGGTTTCCCAAAGTGCTGGGATTACAGGTGTGAGCCACTGCACCCAGCCTCTGCCTTTGTTTTTTTTTGTTTTTTGTTTTTCTTTTGAGACAGAGTGTCGCTCTTGTCACCCATGCTGGAGTGCAATGGCACGATCTCGGCTTACTGCAACCTCCGCCTCCTGGGTTCAAGCAATTCTCCTGCCTTAGCCTCCTGAGTAGCTGGGATTATAGGCACGCACCACCATGCCCAGCTAATTTTTGTATTTTTAGTAGAAACGGGGTTTCACCATGTTAGCCAGGCTGGTCTTGAACTCCTGACCTCAGGTGATCCGCCTGTCTAGGCCTCCCAAAGTGCTGGGATTACAGACATGAGCCACTGCCCAGGCTCTGCCTGTGTTTTTGTTCCTTCTGTAGCCCATCCCTGTGTATCACTCTGAATGGATCCACAGAGATACATCACTCAGACAGGAAAACAAAGACACAGCTGCCCATAGAGGAAATTCTGCAGAGACACCAAGGTGGCCCCAGGACAGAGCAGCTGCCCAGCGCCTCACCCCCATCCCCAGGCAGCGGCAGTCCTCGGAGCAGACATGTGAGGGCGATGGCCCAGCGCTGGGCCTCGGCACGGTTCTCTTCGTAGGTGGCAGCCCCATCTGCCCGGAAGGTGCGGGTGGCTCTGCGCCGGCCCCCAAGCCGGCCCCGAGGATAGGTGTAGATGCAGAAGTAGGCCGCTGAGTCCGAGGGGCTGCGGCTTCGCAGGGTGCAGCAGCCTGAGACCTCGGCCAACGGGACCAGGCCACCCCGGGGCCTGGCTTCAGGTTTGGGGCGCAGCCGCTGTATATGCAGGGCCTGTGACGTGAGGGTGAGGGCATAGCGTGGGCCTCGGGCTGGGTAGGAGCCGAACTCGCCATGGAGGAGCGGGGTGCTGGCAGCCAGTGGCGGTGGTGGCGGGGCCATGGCCTTAGCCCTGACCAGGGTGCTCCTAGGCCTGTGGCCCCAGCTCCCAGTCAGCTCCTGGTCCGGCCTCTGTGGGAAGGGAGGAAGGAAGGGGTGAGAACTGAGGACCCCATAGCAGGGGGAGGGGAGAGGAGGGCCTGTGGACAGGAGGAGACAATGAGGGGCGGTGGCAGGTGAGACAGGAGCACCAGAGACAGACAGGCTCAGACAGGTGCAGGCAGACCTCGAGGATGAGGGACAGAGGCCAGCTGGGCAGGAAGGCCAGCATCCCGGCAGGGGCCGGGCATGCAAACATTCAACCATTTATTCCCTAGGAAGTATTCAGTACCCTCTATGTGTCAATCATAGTGCTACGCCTAGCAAACACAGCAGGGGATAAAACAGCCCCAAATCTTCGCCTTCATAGGAACAGATAAACCAGAGGAAGGTTTGAAATACACAGGGGGTTGGGTGATGATAAAGGGCTTTGGAGAAAAAGAAGGCACAGGAAGAGGAATGGATAGTGGGATTGGATATGCAGAAACAGACATGCAAAGACTGAAAGACACCCCCCGCCCGGTCCCCCGTCACCAGCAGAGTTATCTCCAGGTGCAGAGGGTAGCTGCAGTGAAACAATCACAAATGCGACAGAGATACGGTCTGAGAGCCAGAGAAACACTAAGAGGAGACAGACAGGGTCAATGAGGTGAAACCCAGGCTGATGAACGGTACTGAGAAAAATAGGCGTTTCTCACTCCAATGAGAAAGGCAAGACAGAGCTGGAAGCGAGAGCAAATAGCAGGGATAGGAAGCAGGCATGGGAACGGCTAATAGCAGGGATAGGAAGCAGGCATGGGAACGGCTGGAGCGAAGGGATGTGACAGAGGGACTGCAGAGTCCGAGAGGAGCTACATGCGAGCAACTGCAAGGGGCAGGGGGCAAGAGCTGGTCCCTGAGCACTGACCTGGGTGTCTGGCCGCCTGCTCTCCAGGGAGCGGGTGGGAGCCGGGACTGAGGTCCCTTCCCCACAGGCCCTCTCCCTGCCCTCTGCCCGGCTTCTGCCTCCTCCTCTTTTCTGCTCACCTTTGTTCCCCACTGCCCCGCCGCGCCCCGCCCCGCCCCTCGCATTCCCCAGGCCCAGCGGGACACATCCCCGCCTGTGGACTCACCCTTAGGAACTACACCTGCCCCCCTGCCCCGCGCGGTTCCCTCGGGCCCAGGGTGTCTGCTTCACCGCCAAACCTGCCCTGGCCTTATTATGGGAACTTTAAATCAGGCTCAAGCACAGAGCCCTATATGTTCTCCAGTACTGGACCTGGGTCTTCTGTCCCTGGGTCCCCGACACCTGGACCTGAATCTCCATCCATTGGTCCCCAGTGCATAGGCCTGCGTTTCTGGCCCTGGGCCCTCGAACCGCCATCTCCACTCTATTTCCAGAACCCAGTCCCAGGCCTGGGTTCAGTCCTGGCCCAGGTTTTCCATTTCCATCTCCCACCCTGGTGCCGAAGCCCCGGGCCTGCGTTTCTGTTCCTCTTGGTCCCTCAGTCCCCTAGACTCCGGTCCCTGCCCCAACCCCCGCACCCTCCTCACACGCCGGGTCCTCCTCCAGGCGGCCCCGCAAGTCAGCATCAACCGCCCCCATCAGACCCGGGGTGGGAGGGGGGGAGGGTGTGCACTCGATCAGCCAATGGCCCTGCAGCCGGCCTGAGCCGCACCAATACAAGGGAGTGGGGGGTGGGGCCAGCCAGCTCCCGAGCTTGGCGCAGGGACCGGCCGCGCGAGAGGCCGAGAACTGGGCGGGGCCTCGCCCTTCGAGGGGCTGACCGCCATCGTAGGTGAGGGCAGACGCGCAGCAGAGACAACGTCGCGGCCCCATAGACAGCGCCGCTGTCGCCATCTTTGTTAAGGGAAAGTGGGCCTGTCCCATCCATTGAATTCACAAAAGAAAAAGGGCGTGGGGGAGGAGGTCTTTAGAAGCAAAGACAGAGACCCTAACACAAGTAACATAGGCCCAGAGATCCAGACACAGAGCAAAGCAGAGACCCGGAGAAGCTGCATGAGGCAATAAGAGAGCTAGGAGGAGAGGCAGAGTGGGGGGTTATTTTTCAGACAATTACAAAGTCAGAGAGACACAGAGAACTGCAGAGATAGAAACAAGAGAGCAAAACAGTGGGATTGAGAATGTTCAAGGTAAAAATACAAGAAAACCCGGAAAATGACAGACACGGAGACAGATGGAGACAGACACTTCTGGAATGGAAGCCGGGAAGGAGAGGCTTATTAATTCACAGACTTATTTACCTCAGGCTCAAACCAGAGTGGAGGCTGCAGCATGAGATAAACATCTGCCCAGTGAATGACCCAGTCACATGGCAAGACAGAGACAAAGAGAGATGGGGACGGTAGTTCTAGGTCAAAGGTGAGGGAGGGAGAGAATACTGGAAGCTCAGGGGCTGAGATGAACTGAGAAAGTGAAGATATTGACAGACACACAGAGGCAAATACATGGTGAAATTGAAAGAAAGGCAAGTATAATCAGGAAACTCAGAAATAGAATTGCATAGAGAGAAAGATATATGCATTAGGAGATAGGGACAGAGCTCGCTAGAGAAAGACAAATGTAGGAAGAAGTTTGCTTATTGCCAAATCATGTACCTTGCATTTAACCCACAGTGGCCATGGCACCAGATAATATGTGCCAAGGAATGACGCAGAGAGAAAGGGGGACAGAAACCCAGTGAGATTGAGAGGCAGGGGACACAGTAACTGAGCTTGGGGCCCTGGGAGAAAGAAAGGCAGAGACATTGAGCAAAGAGGCTGAGATTCAAACACAGAGCCTAAGTCACACAAGAGGGGACAGGGAGGAGGAAAAGGAGAAAGGACCCTGAAGCTGTGTAACTGCTGGAAAGCCCCTGAATTCTTGGCCTCAGCTGCCCTGTCTGGGAAGTGGGGAGAAAGCTATTGACACCTGCCTGGAGAGAAGGTCTGAGATCGCTTATAGAAGGGCTTCCAGGCTGGGCGCAGTGGCTCATGCCTATAATCCCAACACTTTGGGAGACTGAGGCGGGAGGATCCCTTAAGCCCAGGAGTTCAAGACCTGCCTGGGCAACAGAGGGAGATCCTGTCTCTACAAAAATTCAAAACACTGGCCAGACACAGTGGCGCACACCTGTAATCTCAGCACTTTGGGAGGCCGAGGCAGGTGGATCACCTGAGGTCGGGAGTTTAAGAGCAGCCTGACCAACATGGAGAAACCCCAGTTCTACTAAAAATACACAATTAGCCAGGCATGGTGACGCATGCCTGTAATCCCAGCTACTCGGGACGCTGAGGCAGGAGAATCACTTGAACCTGGAAGGTGGAGGTTGTGGTGAGCTAAGATCTCACCATTGCACTCCAGCCTAGGTAACAAGAGCGAAACTCCGCCTCAAAAAAAAAAATTTTTTTTTTTTCCAAAAAATTAGCCAGGCATAGTGGAGGCTACTTGGGAAGCCGAGGGAAGAAGATCGCTTTAGCCAAGGAGGTTGCAGCTGCAGTGGGCTGTGATCACGCCACTGTGCTCAGCCTGGGCAAGAGTGAGACCCTGTCTTTTTTTTTTTTTTTTTTTTTTTTTTTTTGAGACGGAGTCTCACTCTGTCACCCAGGCTGGAGTGCAGCACTATCTTGGCTCACTGCAACCTCCGCCTCCCCGCTTCAAGCGATTCTCCTGTGTGAGCCTCCCGAGTAGCTGGGATTACAGGCATATACCACCACGATCTTTGTATTTTTAGTAGAGACAGGGTTTCACCATGTTGGCCAGGTTGATCTGGAACCCCTGGCCTCAGGCGATCTGCCTGCCTCAGCCTCCTAGAGTGCTGGGGATTACAGGCGTGAACCACTGTGCCAGGCCTCCAATCTTTAAAAAAAAAAAAAGAGTTTCGGATTTTGTCATTCCACAGTATGAGGATCTTGGATTTCAGACGATCCCTTACCTGGTCCTGCTGCTCCTCTGCTTCAGGGTGTCCATTCATCTGCTGCTCCTCTGCTCCATTACATCAACAGGACCCTGGCCCTGGGTCTTAAGCCATAGGAGGCTGGTGGGAGCAGGGACTCAGGTCTCACTGTCCTGGCCTGACCTTCAGCTCTGCGGAGGAGAGATGAGTGAGAGCCAACTGCAGGAGGCCCTTCTAGGCTCAATGTGCCTGAGAACCAAGAGGCAGGGGCCTCCCTGGGAGAAACAAAAAACAAACAAAAAAAACCACGAGGAGACAAGTCAGTGTCATTACTGCCCCAGCCAGTCCATCTGGTTGCACACAGTATGTGCTATAATAGGATAGGAGCGAAAGCTAATTTTTATTAAGCACCTATTATGTGCAAAACATTGACCTCAGCAGTTTTCTTAACTTTCATAATCCTGGAAAACACTGTGTGTGCCAGGCCTGCTGTCATCCCGTTTTTGTGGATAAGGAGAGTAAGGCCCAGAGAAGTTAAGTGATTTTCCCAAGATCACGGAGAGGTTAAATGCCTTGCCCAAGGTCACCCCATCAGTAACTTGCAGAGCCAGGATGTGAATTTGGTTACTGCCTTTCAAGGCCCCATCTCACCATCTTTCTTTACCTCTACTGCTCCCTGGGTCTCCATCTCACCCCTCCTTCTAGGTCTCCTTCCTGCTCTTTGGGCCTCCACTCTTCCTCCCCGCTGAAACTCTGTCGCCCTCCTTCTAGGTCAGGGAAGGGCCATTTAGGGGCAGGGAGAAAAGGAGAAGTAAAACTTAAAGGACAGGAATACAGGATGCTATAGACTGAGGTGCAGCAAGATCGTCTCGGGTTAAGACCTTAAGTAGGTATTCCCAAGCAGCGGCTGCGCCTACGAAATGCAGCGCGAGCTAAGGCAGAGGTGAACCTGATAAGGAAACGCCCGAAGCGTGGGGTCAGAGGTTTCCAGAGGCCCCGACTAGCCCTGCCAGCTCCGCCTCCTCACCTCCAACACCCGGCCTGCCGGGTCCTCCAAGAGCCACTGAGAGGCCGTCGGCATCGGGCCAGAGCGTCACCGCGCGACGCGTCCTCCTAGCTCCACGCATCTTTCTCGCTCCCAGATCCCTTTCTTCCGGACAACTATCGAGAACTTGGCCTGGGTAGGGCCAGAGAGGCCCCCGACGTGCTGGCCCTTCTCTCTCGGACGTTGCCTTTGTTTCTCTTTGGTTGGTTCTCCGCTCTTAGAGGTTTTCGCCCGACTAGTCAGGCGTCCAGCTCACCACAGAGACGTCCGGATCGTGGTAGAGCGCCGCGTCGCACCCATGTGACGTCACGACAGCGCCACTCGCTGGAGGCTTTCCCCGCCCACTCCGGAGCCGTTCTCTCTTTCCGGACCTGACAGAGCAGGAGGCGCCATCATGGTGAGTGCGTTTTGCAGCGTTCGAGGCTGTACAATCTGCTGCCATCCGCTGCGGTCTCGGGCTAGGGGTGTGCTTGAGGGGGGCAAGGGCTCTGCGGCTGCCCGAAGGGGTCAACTTCCGAGACTTGGGGCCTGCTCTGGGGGCCAGGAGAGCAGGGATGGGTCAGAGTCATAGCCTACCGCCCCCATTGAGATGACCGAGTCGCGGTACTAGGAGGCTGATATAACTGGGGTCACAAAGCCAGGAAGTGGTGGAGCCAGGATTCCGACGCAGGTGGCTGGCTCCGCAGCCACTCTTAGTTACTTGGCTTTGCCGCCTCTATCCGGACCTGTCACTTTCTAGTATGAAAGGTTGGGTTCGATGGGGCCCGCGGCGGGTGGGAGGATCGGGAGTCAAATAACTGGATTTTGGAAATAGGCGGACCTCTGAGTCTCGGGTCCTTTCCCACCTTGTGATATTGCTCTGTGAGCCTTTCCCCCGTGTCTGACTGTTCATTGGGTACACGGTTATTCTAAGTTTGTGAATTTGGGAAGAAATAATCCACAGGAAATTCTCATTACGGGGTCTTAAACACAGAAAATGCTGAAAAAGTGGAGCTATTAATACTTAAATAGTTCTTAATAGTTGCTAACACGGTCTGAAAAACTTAAGTTGCTCAGAAAGGCAGCAATGAAGTAGGAACCTGGTGCGTGGCTCACGCCTGGAATCCTGGCACTTTGGGAGGCCGAGGCGGGAGGATTCCTTGCCCAGCCTGGCCGGTATAGTGAGACCCTGCCTCCACTTTAAAAACAATTTTCAAAAGGACACTACTTGGTAAGGGTTGTTGGACTGATACTGTAGGAGAGGTCGTTCTGGTAATATAAAGTTCTGAAAAATGATTCTTTTCCGTCATTACTGCCATTGGTTTTATATTTTTGGTCATCCTCCAGATATGGGACCCAGATTTGAGAACTTAACATTGTTGCAAAATACAAGTTGTAAAAAATTAAGGTTTTTGTATTAAGTTAATATGACTGCTGTGTTAAGATATTTCAAGGTGGCCGGGCGCGGTGGCTCAAGCCTGTAATCCCAGCACTTTGGGAGGCCGAGGCGGGTGGATCACGAGGTCAAGAGATCGAGACCATCCTGGTCAACA